TTGGCTGGGCCATGATTCTCAGTGGTTTGGCAGTTATGCTGTAGTTCAGCAGTTACATAAGGATGTAATCACCTCCATGATGAGATCTTCTATGAGCAACCCATCAGTTGAAAGGGATTTTCCTTGGAGTTGTGGCCTGCATCCAATATATACAGACTTTCTGGCAAAACTTGCTGGCTTTTGCCCTACTCTGGATCCTGTATTTGGCTCATCATCATCTGATCTCTGTTCTTGGGATCTGAGCCAGCAGCCTGCTGTTTTACCTGATGATCCTGGATCATCAGCCTCTATAGCCCGTGAGCCAGCAACCTCCCATCTAACCTCCTGATCTTGGGTTCATCAGCCCCTTGAGGCTATGTGAGTTAGGAGAAGCCCCCAGCCTGGCGCCTGACCCATGGACTTGGGACTTGCCAGTCTCTACAACCGCATAAGCCATTTCTTTGATATAAATCTCTCTCTCTCTATATATATATACACTTCACTGGGTTTGCTTCTCTAGAGGACCCAACCTAAAACAGCAAGTGAATTCTTCCTTGACTTGTTAGTTAATAAATAAGGAGACCAAGAATGTTATTGTTATTCATGCTCCTGGACAAATAAAGTTTCAGTCCTTTATGGTTTAAAGACTCTTTCTTGAGGGACAGCACAGGTGCTAATTAAAAAAATAAATGTTAAAGATAAAGCCTAATGATTTGGGCTAGATTGAACCAAATCTGCATTATTAGCAAAGGAAAATTGAATGGGATGTGATGATACCGTTGGTAAGAGAAGTAGCTTTTCGCTGAGTTGGCATGATTTGAGAGCTGGAAAAACTCTCATACAGAAGGATTTCTTCCACAAGTCACAAGTTCCTGCTACTTGGTAACTAAACTGTCTGATATGAGAGTTAGTGATATCCTAGAAAGTCTTAGGAGTAATTTTTATCTGTTAGAGGGTTGCAATGGAGTTTTTTTCTCTTTGAGCACACTCTGAGATTGGTTAAGATGCAGTGCTTCTCAAACTTTAGCATGTATGTGAATCTCCTAAGGGAATCTTTGAATTTTTTGTGTGGTGGGGCCTGAGAATTTGCATTTCTAACAAGTTCCCAGGTGAAACCTGAATACAGTGAGTAGCAGGGAGAGGATGAATAAAGAGAGAATAGGGTATATGGATGTAGAGGACATTGGTTTTTCTGGCCTGTCCAGCCACTAGCAGCCTAAGTTTACTGTGGTGGAGACCTTTCTTCCTCACTATTAGTTCACGAAGTTCAGATGAGGCCACTTCTCCCTTTACTGTCCCCTACCCCAACTGCCTGTGATAGAGTTGGGTATATGATCTAAGCCTGGTCAATCAGCACAAGTGGGCAAGTGATCCAAGTCAGTTCAATGATTTTTAGGCTTTGCATTCGGCTAGAGCTATTGGGAAACAGGCTTTCTTTGGTAGGTTTTGAAACTTGGATCTTCCGGTGACCATCATGAAAAGGGTGCCTGCCTGAGAATAAAGCCAACGTAGAGGATGCAGATCTAAAAGCTGGAAAAGGAAAGATGCCTGATGATATCTTTTGAGCACCTGGATACAGCTATGCCTGAGGCAGATGCTCTAGTCTAGTTGGTTACTTGAGTCAATAAATTCACCTTTATGCTTAATTAAGCCAATTTGATTTGGGCTTCTGTCACTTGCAACAGATAGCATCTTGCAATGTTACCTTAGAATCAAAACAAGTTCCCTTATTTATTGCTGTTGTTAGTTGCCATTGAGTCCATTCTGACTCATAGTGACCCCATGTGTTACAGAGTAGAACTGCTCCATAGGGTTTTCTGGGCTGTAAATCTTAATGGAAAGCAGATTGCCAGGCCTTTTCTCCTGCAGTGCTGCTGGGTGCGTTCAGATTGCCAACCGTTGGCAATCGAGCACAAACTGAACCACCTAGGTATCTTCCCGTTATTTATTAAACCAAAAAAACAAAAACGAAAACCGTTGCTGTCCAGTCGATTCTGACTCACAGTGACCCTGCAGGACAGAGTAGAACTGCCCCACAGGGTTTCCAAGGAGTAGTAGATTCAAACTGCTGACTTTTCGTTGGCAACCGAGCTCTTAACCACTGTGCCACCAGAGCTCCCATTATGTATTGGATGAGCTAATATAACATCACTTAGAATAGGGCCTGACACATAGTAGGAATTCAACAGATACTAATAGCCTTCTCTTCACAATTTTTCTTTGGTTGGATCAAACAATTCCTTTGTTTTATACACATATCTATATGTATACACATATGTATGTATATATATGTGTTTGTGTGTGTGTACATACATGTAGACACACACACACGTATTTTTTTTGCCAGAGAAGAACAAACAACCTGAGACTGGCAGTTAGGTGACAAGCAATTTTATTTTGCAAAACAATCACTATACAGCAACAAATACATTTGCAAATTTGATTGAAAAACATGAACTAACTATAACCAGCCATTGAAGAAATGCCTTTCTATGGCGACAGGCTTTAGAATTTCAGAAAAAGAAATCCCCCACAGATTTGTAGCGGCGTGTTGGAACCTTGGAATCCCAGCATACAGAGTATACTTTTTGCTGATTTTTTTTTTCTTTTTGCTAAAGTTGAAGTAGATTTTTATGATTGATGTTTTCTGAGTTTGAAAATAATCTTTTTCCTGCAGAGGGACTTGGCCTCAACTTGCACACCCAGGTCAAAAATCCTAGGTGTAAAAATACAAACTCTATACTGACTTTAGCACATCAATCTTTGAAGGAATGCCTAGAATTTGCCTTTCCCAAGCAAATATAAAGTTTTTGCTACTTAGACCGTGAATAGTTTCTTTTCCTTCTTTATGTGGAATGAAATATAGGAGATAAACTCTATTTCCAGCTATGATAGAATCAACCACATTCTGACTATTTCTTCAACAACATGGACATGATGTTATATTTTGGCTGATGATCCCACTTCCTGCTGTATTACTGTGTGAGTATATGGAGACGGCTGGCCACAATCAGTACATTCTCCCATTTTAAATGTTTTCTCTTCAGCCTTCTTCAGTCATACCTACCTGATGCTACACAGGTGTCTTTTTTTGTGGGTGGGATTTTGGCCCATCGCCCTGCTGGAATTCAGCAGGTGAATCCAGAAAGAGTTGGTTCCTAAGTGAACATGGCCTTGAAACTCATCAAGAACCTGGATCTTTCCTGCATCCTTGTAAGGTACCCAATTTTCAGTTGCAGGTGACCCAGAGAATGAGTTCATTGGAGAAGTTGGCCTTTTAACTCTTTACATCTCTGGATTACTTTTGTTTCATTAAACAGGTTCTCAAAGGCTAAAGCCAAAGAGAACCTGGCATTAGTAGATCTAGAACTGAAACTATGAAGTTTTCATTTCTAGATCAGCGTATGTGTGTCCCCACAAAAGTGGTGCTCGAAAAGCTTAATTTGAGTCGTTATCTTGAGAGTGAAGGCAAGATGGACTCCACACCCATAAGAAGACATTTGGCCCGTGGGTTTCACCTTTTTACCAGTGCAAATGACCAGTGCGAACGATTAGTGCAAATGAATCCCAATTCCGTATAAAGCAAGGGCATACATTCATTATGATAACTGTGATGCGATTGGAAATTTTTTTTAATGCCAGATCTAATAACTTAGTGGCTAATATAAACTTGATTTTAGACATGTATTTTAAGAAACTGAGTTTTAATATTTTGAGTGTGTTCACTTCTTAACTTTTGTAAAAAAAAATTTAAACCAGTTTTAAAAAAATTACTTGTTTTACAGGTTAAAACTGTTCTAATCAGCTGTTAACTTCTTTCCAGAGAACTTTAATGACTATCTAACACATATCAAAACATGTAAGAAAATACCACAAGTCTCCACACAACTACTTTTTCTTCTCCTATTTTCTGGTACATTTCAAGGTAAGCTAATGAATAAATTGCCTGGATTGGTCATATCAAACCTCACAGCAATTACAAGGCAGAAACATCCATAGTCCTACTCAACAGTATCTATGCTTCTGACTATTGTATAAAATAACTGATTTATAAATGGTTTAAGACGTGGTCGCCTGTGTAAAACCTCTGAGTTGAGAATTAATGGTGTGGGTTTGCTCCTAGGGTTTCTCTTGTGGCAGTCTCATTGAATGCAGTATCCAATGGGTCACAAAATGGCACCCATTTCTCCCTGTCTCTGCATCTCTTCTTGGCTTTTGTCTTAGATGCCCCTATACCTCCTCATTGCCTCAGACCATGCTCATCCTTTCCCCCTTTATATTTGGGAATTGATTTGGCTCAAAGGGATCAAACACCTACTTGACCATCTTCCTTTCACTGTTCAGATTCAGTCTGCCAGCCCTGAGCAAGAAAAAGAACAGAAAAATACTAAAAAGCATCCATCCAGCCCTGCGGCTCATTGCCCTATTCAGGTTATTTGACTATGTCATTGCTTGTTCATAAGTCTGAGATGAATGCTTTATAAGAGGAATTAATTGATTTATGATTTCTAGACTGTACATAAGGTCAGAACAGTATTATCTACTGGTAAATACTGTGAAGTCACATCGTGTTGCTTTATAGAGTGTAATGTTGGAATTCTGAAAAAATTGGTTCAGATATGTGCATCTCAAATGTTTTCTAGCTATAGCTTTTCAAAATACTGCATTTTTTCTTCCTGATCAAGGGATCTTTACTTTGGGTGAGGAAGTCAAACATCTTCTACCAGAGAGTTTAATAAACAGATACTATTTGAAAGAATGGGATAACATGTCCCAAACTTTCACTGTTAGTTTCAACTTTAGCAAATGAAAAAAAAAAAAAAAAGAAGTCTGTTTCGTGAATGATTATAGGTATAAAACCCAAACTACTCTGTGATTAAAAATGAAAGAAATCCGTATCTTAAACCAACAATTTGTAGACCCTTTTATGTATAACGGGACCCACCCCCACAAACTCCATGTTGGTGAAAGCAAAGAAAAACAAATTTTCCTAGCATCACAGGAGAGACTTGTATCTGGCACTAAAACAGGGTTACAGCTTTGAGTTGTTACAGAAAGCAACTTCATGCTAAAATTTTTATCTTTTTTAATTTTTTTTTTTAAGTAGGGAAAGAATCCTGCTAACATCTACTTTCACATACCTAAAATTGCAACACCAAAGGGTGCAGGAGACACAGATACTGTGAATAAAGAAGTATAATATTCAAGTATATGAGGAAGTATCACAAATGGCCACAGAGAAATATATATATATTTATATCTATAATACTGTATCAAACAGATGGAAGGGGGTGTGAAACTGGTAGTGTGGACACAAATCTAGCCGATCACCTGACATTCTAATCAGACATGAGTCCATCATATCGAAAGTGCTTCAATCCTAAGAGATGCACTTTTATGCCACTTTCTCAACCACAGCTCAAATGCTTTGTAACTATTTTTTAATTAGTTAAATAATTTATTGGATTCACTTATACTCTGATATAATTATCCAGGTCCCAAATGTTAATAACTTAATTGAATCTTTCTTCCCATTTATACAAAATAACACTTTTAAAAAAACTGGTTATTTCTTACATGCTCGTCCCTTCCTGCAATTAAACTTCTTGATTTAATTTAACCTGTAATAAGTTACATTGGGCGGCTTTTATTTTTTCACCCATAAACAGAATAATGAAATGAGCAGCATGGATTTTAACAAGGCCCTTCGGAACGTAGTGGATAGCCTTCAGGCACATGAAAGGTAAAAATGCAATTTTTAAAATCATAATACTCCATGCAAAACAGAGCAGAGCAAAAATAATTTTCCAATTGTACCCATGTAAAGCCAGTGTCTTCCTGTTGCAAATGGAAATCAGGTCAATTTCTGCATATTCTATTCATTTTTTTTTTTATAAAATTGTAACAATTATTTAAGTTTGGGGATGAGATTATTTATTTTATGGTTTGTAAAGAATGAATGTAACACCTGCTCAGAGCCCACTCCTGCTAAGAGCTCATGCCTAAATATTGTGACTTCAGTGCTAAAAGGAATATTCACAAGCCCTGCTTAGCGAGTGCAGCAGTGACATCCTCGGCCAAAGTGGCGAGCTGAGGGGATTCGAGCAGGTTGATGCTTCCAGAAGACGAGACGTTGCTGAGTCGTCGGGGTGATGCCACGCTGGATCTGCCTGGCGACTGCGTAATGATCTCAGCCCCGTGGTCCACACGGGCCTTCGCATGCTCTCTGAAGTTCAACTTCTGGCTGTCAATCTGTTCAAGACAAGCATCAGTCCTCATTAACTCAAGCATCTGAATTAGCCCCTCGCTCTTTCTTTACCTCCCAGATCTGATATTAATGTGACTTCTATGCAGCTCTATCACCCCCACTTCCTATGTGTCTAGGTCTTCAATCTGGGACTCATTTTGATGAAGACTATTTTGGAAGGATTCAAAGAAATGACAAGATTTGCTCATGACCTTGTTGCTTACCTTGACATTACCGCCTCCAGGGACATGGTGAGCATTGTCGAGTGAACCGACTTTAGCTTGGGCCTTTTCTTTGAAATCCAGTTTTACACTCTCAATTTTCACACGCCCACCACCTATGTATGACAGGAGAAAGGCTTAAATTGCTAAATAACTTGCTGAAGTGAAATCTTATATTTGTGGTGACCATTACCCAGAAATGATGGACCATAGCAAAACACAAACGTAATCAAATTTACTACCCTCTGATCAAAGATGTGTAAGGAATCTTTTAGAATTTCTAGTCTATACCATTTGCCCATACCAATCAAGATAATGGCATCCTTCTTATATTATGTGGATTGCTTTACATGTAAATACCTTTCTTCTTTACCCATGTCTAACCTAAGAAATCAGAAAGGGTTTCTCATCAGTATAACAAAAACTCTAAAAAGACACAATGAAAATATCCTATTGGATCCTTTCTAGAAATTGGAACATTTAGTCTCTTATGCCTAAGGGAGAAAATACGTTGAAATGAGCCTCTTCTCTATCTTTCTTTATGGTAAAGGGTCATTGTCCAAAGACGTGTTAGGCTGCAGATGGGTGATATGTTCACTTGTAAATGTTCATTGATGGCTTGACTGATGGAATGAGCCAGGAGCTAAGTGGTTTGTAACCAGTCAGCTTTAAGAGCACCCCATTTTAATTAGCACATGGGGTGAAAGGAAGAGAATCTTAGGAGATCTTTTTCTTGTACAGATGCCACAGGACAAATCTGACACTGACTTCAATCTGATAACACAGACAGGGTTTTGACTGCACCATGCTGCCAAATGCTAACTAGCCTGAAACTCGAAGATCTACTGTTTGATGAGGGTGCTATGTACCACATTTCAGTGTGGTCTTCCTGATCGCCGCATGCCCTTCTCAGGCTTCAGATGCAGGAGTTGTTCTACACTGAGTAGGTTTTTGTTGTCCTTAGGCCTGTCAATGACCATTTCTGAGTGCCTGCTGATATCTTTGACCTGGAAAGATGCTAGATTACACTTCCTTTTTTATCTTTCTTCACCTAAGAGATTTGCTTTCACTTGCATGAGTGAATTGGTTTTGACAGCAGGCATTCTTCTGAAAGTTCAGGGGTAAATGATAATGACCCTTTACTATCATTGTATCTTTCCTGGGATTTTTTTTGAGAAAAATATGAGGGACTCTATGGAAACATGGGAAAAATTTTTCAGTTTTGGATTCTTGATGCTTATATGTCCCTGCAGAACAAAGAGAGAGGTCTGTTAAAGCTTCATAGCTTTTTTAAGGCTTGTGGTATTTTTCCCATGCAATACCTAGACATTTATATTAATATGCAATTGCCTGGCCATGGGTCCACTGAAATTATATGGTTTTATTGGATTACATTTTGAAGAAACATCTAATAACTCTTCTCCTGAAGACTCAGGATGTGCATGATGTTTTTAGCTCATGTTAACAGAAGGCATGTAATATGTAATTGTTATCCCCTCAAAATATGCCTCATTGCAGGAAGTGTTATTCTTCCAATATTTCACCTGTCCAAGTGAGCCTCACTTGTTGGCTGTGATGGAATTAGCATGATTCATAATGATTCACTAAATATATTCATTAAACAAGGATGTTGGGTTTCTAACTAGATGAGATCAATTTCCTTGGGATCTTACCTTTTTTTTTTTGGTAGCCCTGTATATAAACTGCCTTCTCAAGCTTTCTTTTATGATTATATGTTGTATCAATGTAACTTTGTTAAGTTTTGTTGGACTGTCTTTTGAGAGAGAAAAAAACAATAATATAACATTGACCTAAAATATATTCAGAAAAGGAAACTTGAGAAGGCTATTTCTGTTGAGGCCATGCTAGAAATTCCTATGCGACTATTAATGAAGCACATTTGAATTTAGAGATCTATGCCTTTGGTTCTGAGGAATTCTGGCACCCACTAGGAGCAGCAATTTTGAAAAATGATAATCTTTATCAAGCTTCATAAATCCTGAAGTGAACTTGAGAAGTGCAAACATTTCAATTTGTGCCCCTAAGTATTGGGTTGTTTCCTTTAGTTTCTCCTTAGATATTCCACATTTCTAAGTAGCTTTGTGAAAAGCTTGTTGTTGTCAAAGATCATTGTGCTAACACTTCTTTACAAATTTAGTCATGTGATTCAGTTATTACAGAAGAGTTGGATTTAGTAATAGGTGGGAGTCTATGACAATAGTCTTTTATGACCAGTAAATCATCACAAAATGTTTCCTTTTCTACATAAGGTTCTTTTTGTGCATACAGTCCCCAGGCAAATTTGACTAATTGTATGTATCCTGCCTGGAATTAAAGAATCCACCACTATTTGTTGTATTCTGGAAGAAAATAGGCAGTATGGTGAAATATTTTAGTCATGCTATTGACACAGCAATGCGAAGTCAACCAAGTGTTTGTAGATTTGAGTTATAGACGAGAATTATGAAGGCATACAGCATGAGACCAGTCCATGCTGTTTTATGAGTGACAGAGAAGTTAATTCCATGGCAGCAGTTTTGAGACTAGTAATGAGGATTCCATGCATGCTATTTCTAACTCCTTGTCTTGCTCTATGAACATCCTTGGTCCAAAGTTAAGCCTGATTTCTAGGCATGTTTCCAGTGGATTTTTCAGTCTTGAAACTTACCTTAACCTACCTGTGTTTTTCAACTAATAAATTCTTCCTAATAATCTTTCTTCGTCAGAAGTGTTATTGGGCTCAATTGTTCTTACACCTTATTTTTTTTTATTACATTTGAGATAATGATTAATGCAAATAACCTTTCACCTGGTTTATATGCTATGATGCCAAACATAGATGGTTAAAACCAATTGTTTTCGGCTTGTCATCTGTAAATTAATGGTATATCTAAATCGTTTTAAAATATTCTCAGGAAAAATATAAATTTGATAGTTTTCTATTATTACATATCTACAGAGGTGAAATTTAGCAAAAAAAATATAATACATGATACTTAGAAAGATGACTTATAATATGTTAGAATTACACTTTAAAGGGGGAACCATATCTCACAAGTATGAACATAAATTCTACTTTACAACACTAGCCCTATGAGATATTCTGGAAAAACAAAAGGGTCCATGGTCAAATAAATTTTGTAAACATTGCATTCTACTAAGTATTTACAATGCTTACTAATGAAGGATCTGAGAAATTCATCAGATCAATAAATTGTTCAGCATTTCTTAAGCACAATCCTTATTTCACATAATGCAGGAAAAGTTTCATGAAAAATCTTTGTAAATGCTGCTTTCAATGTTACTATGCATAAATACATGGCAGAATGTATTTTACAGATTATATTATTTCAAAAGAGCTCCAATAAGCTCTTTTGAAATATATAGTCTGTAAAATACATTTTTTATGTTGTGTTCATGAAGACAAGTTCATCTTAAATGCCCTTTAATTTTTTAACCTATTCTATGATATGTGGCCTAGTCATGGTAATTAAGTATGCTTGCCCAAAGGAAGATGACTTGAGATTTCTAACTTAAGTTTCTATTAATAAAAGCATGAAGTATTAGGATTTTGAAACATCCTTCTAATTAGGTGTTTTGCAATACAAAATTTGCATTTGCAATTTCCTGAACCCAATTTAATATTTCTCAAATTTCTAAACATTATTTATTTACCTGGCCTGTGGCGGATGTTCTTCAGAGAGCCGCATTTGGATGTCACGTGGCTGAGATCTATCTTCTTGGTAACAATTTGTACCTGTGGGAACCACAAAAAATATGTGTGAAATCGTTTAGATGTGGGAATGCTCCTAAGCTCATACATAAAATCTAGAAACACACCTAAACTCACAACACGCAACAACATACCCAGAAACCCAAACTGAGGTACACGCACACACGCATGAAAACATCTCCCCTAGGTCCTCCCACATGTTTGGACTGGAAAGAAGGACACAAGTGAAAGAAAATCCTGGAACAGAAGATCTTATTAGTAGAAAACAGATCATGCCACAAGGGATAGAAACACCTGGATTAATACAGCACGCTTCCATTCAGAGAAATAAGCCGCACAGTGTGAAACCTTTCCATAAGCAAAGAGTCAACAAAATAGATGAATTATTCTTTAAAAAGTGTTTAACATGAAAGTGAAAACATTGCTCATAGATACAAGGTGAACTAACTTTGCTTTAAAATACAAGAAGAAGAAAGCTATAAATGTGCTTTCCTAAAATGTTATTAAATTATCATATCTTGGCTAAATGGATTATTTTCTTACCCACCAAATTATAAAATGATAGCAACATTTTTTTCTTTATGTCATATTGACATTGTTTCCTCTCCCAATATTTGAAGCAGTGCTTCTAAAAACGTCCTCCATTGTCCACCTGCATCAGAAGTACATGGGAATTACTAACTCAGACACTGTGGAAAGGGGCCAGGGTATCTGCATATTTAAAAAAGTGAATCTTCTCTAGAGAAAAGTTTAAGGCTATTGTTTTGCAGGCTAGAATTTCCTCTACTTACTTTAGGATCTTTAGTTATCCCAATTTATCCATGTCCACTTAGGTGCTTTGATCAGCAACACCTTCAGTGCTGAATAGCTGGGTCCATCCTCTGATACCCTCCATTAATTTACCATGCCTAAGCCTGCTTCTATAAGAGTAACACATGGTGGGTATTGCAGTCAGGGCAACCACATCAATGTAAAAACTGACTCTGAGGCTTAGCCCAGCATCCTTCAAGAAGTCCAGCAAACATGGCTTGGACTTCCCAGACAGTGGAGAAACTTCCAGTGTCAGGAGACAGCTCCTAGTACAGTGCACTTGCTTGCCTCCATCTCCTTTCACTGCTCTACTCCATCTCTGCCCAGGTGAGGAGCAAACAGCCAAGAGTTAGACAGACGAGGATTCTGGATTTGATACCCTGTAAATTTCTTGGGTCCCAGTTACCACAATCTGACGTTTAGGTGGTAGGATCTGTAGAATAGAGAGAGTCGACCTAGTTCACGTTTTAAAATTATTTTTATGAGGAACTATCCTTACTTTGTCTCACTTTAGCTTGCATTTGCCTGACCTTCAACTCTGCCTCAGCCACATTTAAGACATAGATGTGTCTTTTGCTTCCTCTCATAGACTATTATTTCCACTAAATGAAAGAGACAGGAAAAATCTTGTCAAGACAAAGTGTACACTGGGACTTGAATCATTTCACTTTGAATTATAGATGAAGCATGCTTCACCAGTTTTGTATTTTTCCAAATGATATCTTAACTCTCATGAATAATGAAGCACTGAAAATTGACATTACACACTTTGGGTGCTTTCAAGCGTATCAACCTTTGCCTCAAGAGTAATTTAAACGGAGCTACAGAGGCGTGTGCCCAGCTGACTTTGTAGGGGAGTAGAGACAGCATAAGAAAATACCTCTAAGCCAAAGGCCAGCACATGAAACTGGCAAGTGAGCAGGCTTGCCATCCCCTTGAAAACCATGGTAACACCATCAAGGTTTTCTTCCCAAGCCAAAAGTGAGATATTCATTGATGATTCTACAGGGAACGATGGGAACCCCATCACTGAAAATGCAAGGCTGAGAAGCCACCAGACCAGGTGGATATGAGGAGCAGCAGTGAGAAGAGGGGAGTGTGTTGGGAGGTAGGCAGGAAAGAAGACAGGGTGCTGGCTGTGCAGGCAGCTCCACACAATCAGGGCAGCTTTCTAGTAGAAACTTCTACTTACATTTCCACCCCCAGCAGAATGTTTGATGTTATCCTTGGAACCACATCTGGACTGAACCTTGCTAAAATCGATCTTCTTGTTTAAAATGCTAACCTAAAAGGAATTGGAGGTAACTTCACTATGCATTTTTCTTTCAGTATGCCAGGTAGAAGAAACCAGAATGGGTAGTGCCAAAGAGGCTCCAGACTTGCTTCCACTTACATATTCATTAAAGAGAAAAAACTAACACTGGAACTTAAGAGCAGATCTGTCATGTAAATATAAGCCCCGCCCCTTTCCCTGCACACCTAAGGCCAAATGCTCAAGTCTTAAGTATACTCGATGTAGGCAGGTGTGATCTTGAAACAGTGAAAAGGACAAAAAAATAAAACTTGGATCATCTGTGATGGCGGCTTTCTATGTTGTGGGCAACACTGGGATTCAGGTCTACTTCATGGACATTCCAATGTTGTAGTTGAGTGTAGTTCTGCCCAGGACCTTTATGGATATGCCAATGCTCTCTCTTCCCAAACCCCAAAATGTCAGTCATCATAATTATTAGTCACTTTGCACATTTGACTTCACTATCCTATTGGTCTACATAGCACAGGTGAGGCCCACAATTAGTCTGTCTTAATGCTACGAAGTCAGGGTTCTCATTCATTCAGAAGAAGGTCCCCTGGTGTCCCAGGAGGGTCAGTGAGGAGGGTCCAGTCCTGCTCTGCTGAAAGGGCTTTGTGATTCCCTTGCAAGTTTGGCTCAGTGACCTTCAAAAGGTCCCTCTGTGACAGCTGCTCTTGAGCAGCCATTTCCCTTGTATGGTCAGTATCGAAGCATTGTTTCCACTTTCAGATGTGAGAAAATCAAGGCCTATTGGTTAGTGGACTTGTACTTGGTCATGCAGAGGTATTCCAGGCCTTGGTGGAGTCCAGAAGAGTTGAAGTTAGGTGTCCTATTTCTATTTTTTGGAAGTCAAGCATTCATCTTTCAGACAATACAAATCCAGATCTGGAAAGACATTACTAAATCTGATGACTTCTTTCATGTGTTTTTTTCCCCTAAATGCTAAAGAGAAATGATGTTTTTAATGCTTTAGGGGACAGTTTATCGTTTTATTTTAAAAAACCAAGCAAATAAGCAAACAAACAAACAAAAAACTATAGAAATTTATCCCTGATATACAGCCATCTCCAAGAATGGTATCACACCTCTTGAGTATTTGCAAAACAGAGTCAGAAATTCAAGAGGACATTTAATCCTGAATTATTTTAAACTAAACAAAGCTTACATGGCAGTGCCTGCCTAGCACTGACAAGATAGTTTGTACCTTACAGGGAAATATTGATAGTCTTCATCAGCGACCCAAGGGAAGGGCCTCATGTCAAAATAGGATTTCAGAAGACATGATGATTGGGCTATTCTTTAGGGTAAAATAAAAATAACAATTTCAAAAAAGGGAATATTACAAAGAGTCTAAACTACTAAGAAATATACTTACTTTCACTGTAAGAGTTTCACATAAAATACAGATGCAAGTATTTTCAGCTAGTAAAGACCACTACATTTCAAACCTTATATATAAATTATTTTCAGAAAGCAAATAATTTTGATTCATTATTTCTAATAATCATATTTTTCATTATTCTCCATGATTATCTAATTAGTTTGCCTGTGAAACAGAAATAGAAATAGAATTCACCTGAATCCTTTTTCTCATCCTTGGGGGAATATCTATAGCATCTGATATTTTGCTTATAGATTTTAATTGAGAGATCATTAGAGTACAAATCAAGCGACTCATCACCAAGTGATCAAGAGCTAAAAGTTAAATCTGATTCACTTGCTACAAAAATGGAAATTGAAAGGTCAGTTGAGTAAATTTATTTGACCTTGACATTTAATCAACTATTTGACAAATTTTATGATTTCCAAAATAAATGATTCAATTCCAAAGCAGTAGTGTTGCTAGCATTATTTGGAGATGATTTAGAATCTTAAAGTCTTAGAACTTGAAAGCTAACTTCTGTAGATTTTCTATAGATTTTTTTAGAGAGTCATAGATTCTCTAGTGAAATATCTTGCTGGCCCTTCTTGATGGTAGACTGTTTTCAACCTATTTCTGCTCAACATATGAAGACTGAAGAACTGGTGCCTTTGAATTGTGGTGTTGGCAAAGAATATGGAATATACCATGGGCTGCCAGAAGAATGAACTAATCTGTCTTGGAAGAAGTACAGCCAGAATACTCATTAGAAGCAAGGATGGCAAGACTTCGTCTCATTTAGTTTGGACATGTTATCAGGAGGGACCAGTCCCTGGACAAGGACATCATGCTTGGTAAAGTAGATCAAAAAACCAAATCCAAACCTGTTGTTGTCAAGTTGATTCCGATTCATAGTGACCCTACAGGACAGAAGAACTGCCCCATACGGTTTCCAAGGGGTGCCTAGTGAATTCAAACTGCTGACCTTTTGGTTAGCAGCCATAGTTCTTAATCACTAGACCACTAGGGTGTCTAGTAAAGTAGAAGGTCAGTGAAAAAGAGGAAGACCTTCAACGAGATGGACTGACACAGTAGCTGTAATAATGCGCTCAAATATAGCAAAGATTGTGAGGATGGTGCAGGACTGGGCAGTGTTTCATTCTATTGTACGCAGGCTTGCTATAAGTAGGAACCAGCTTGATGGCACCTAACAACAACAACGACATATGACGTGTCATGTTGGACAGGCCTTGGACATGCATTAGTGGCATGTACTTAATGTATTTCCATATTTGCGAATAGCACCATAGTATAAAGATTTTGTCTAAAACAAGGAAAAGTATGATAGAATTAATATAAATAATCTCCGCAGACTGCTACTCACCATACTGCTTGATGGTCCAGTAGAGAGAAAAAAAACTATTTTGAGCAGATGGTGTTTGATGCTCAGTAAAGCTTTGCCCTCTAGCTGGATGACTTGCACCTGAGCACCCACCTACTCCACATAACTCACATTTATGCTCTAGGAAAATTACACATTACTGTGTGTCAAAAATCCCT